TGTTATCCATACATATAACTCTCATCACATTCAATAAAAACTAACAATAACTGTGAAATCAGCATTCAATATACTCAAACAACTCAACTAATACACACAAACTCCTCTCCAAAACGCTCTCCTCCATCACCTCAGACACATACATACACCTACACCTACACATACACATACATAGCAAATATAACCACAATGACACCCGATGAAAGAGGCATTCACAACAAATTACAACTCGCTAACTCTCACACACACACACACACACACACACACACACACACACACACACACACACACTCAAACCAACACATGTACACGCATTTACACAACACCTACCTGCACTAAAACATTCACAACTATCAATATCAACACCACTCACTGCATTCCTTCTCACCAATCTCCTCCAAAACACACTCACTGTGCAGTAGTATCATCTCATCATTATTACAATATATTTCAATATCATCTCAACCTCTTTCCAAACCAAAAACAACATCTCTATAAACCCTCCACTGCGTTAGACACAGCTTCTTCAGCAGAACATTAGCATCTTTCTCAATATCACACTTATCAAACCAACAATGCACAACAACAAACACATCACCAACCAACCAACCAACCAACCACTCACCTACTCACCTACTCTTCATCTCCAAAACACAATGTGCGATGAGGAACTAACATCAGCACAGTCCATCACCACATGACATAATATACCTCCGGCTCTTACGCCCAGTGACCATAGCACATACAGGCGCCTTTTACAGAGGAATACATCATAATATATACTACACAACGCCATTCACAACACTCATATACAAACACAACAACAACAACAACAGCAAAACAAGAACAACACCACTCTACACATTACAAATTAGGCCTCAACATCAACAACACATACCACACAACAATAAACACCAAACACACACACACACACACACAAACACACCTTCATATACACAACTCATCAGCAACTGAAATACACTCCAACACAAAACAAAATCTACACAACAACAAAACACTCCTCTCAAAATTACATACATCAAACACTCACGACTCACTTACATCAAATCATCCTCCCAACCCACCAGCAATCCTGTCCACTGACTCCACAATCGAAAACTGAAAATCAACAGAAATACAACTACTAACATATCAAGCAAATACAATATCAACATCGCAGACAACCTCTACACATAACTACCTGTCAGAATACATAGTCATTGCTCATCAAGAGATAACAGATGTCCCTATCTAAAATCATTCATCATAACACTAAATAACTAATCACACACACACACACACACACACACACACACACACACACACACAAACTAACTCACTCACTCACTCACCTGTACACACTACCACCGTGTCCATCCTACGATCCAATAACACTTCAGTCACTCACTCACCCACATTCAACTCTGAAAGAAACAAGTCAACAAATACAAAAACCATTACCTCAATCCTCACGAGCAACAACCATGTCATTTCAATACAATAATCATCAGTGGTTCCTTAGTAAATCGCATTACAATTGTTATCCATACATATAACTCTCATCACATTCAATAAAAACTAACAATAACTGTGAAATCAGCATTCAATATACTCAAACAACTCAACTAATACACACAAACTCCTCTCCAAAACGCTCTCCTCCATCACCTCAGACACATACATACACATACACCTACACATACATAGCAAATATAACCACAATGACACCCGATGAAAGAGGCATTCACAACAAATTACTACTCGCTCACTCACTCACTCTCTCTCACACACACACTCAAACCAACACATGTACACGCATTTACACAACACCTACCTGCACTAAAACATTCACAACTGTCAATATCAACACCACTCACTGCATTCCTTCTCACCAATCTCCTCCAAAACACACTCACTGTGCAGTAGTATCATCTCATCATTATTACAATATATTTCAATATCATCTCAACCTCTTTCCAAACCAAAAACAACATCTCTATAAACCCTCCACTGCGTTAGACACAGCTTCTTCAGCAGAACATTAGCATCTTTCTCAATATCACACTTATCAAACCAACAATGCACAACAACAAACACATCACCAACCAACCAACCAACCAACCACTCACCTACTCACCTACTCTTCATCTCCAAAACACAATGTGCGATGAGGAACTAACATCAGCACAGTTCATCACCACATGACATAATATACCTCCGGCTCTTACGCCCAGTGACCATAGCACATACAGGCGCCTTTTACAGAGGAATACATCATAATATATACTACACAACACCATTCACAACACTCATATACAAACACAACAACAAGAACAACAACAACAAAACGAGAACAACACCACTCTACACATTACAAATTAGGCCTCAACATCAACAACACATACCACACAACAATAAACACCAAACACACACACACACACACACAAACACACCTTCATATACACAACTCATCAGCAACTGAAATACACTCCAACACAAAACAAAATCTACACAACAACAAAACACTCCTCTCAAAATTACATACATCAAACACTCACGACTCACTTACATCAAATCATCCTCCCAACCCACCAGCAATCCTGTCCACTGACTCCACAATCGAAAACTGAAAATCAACAGAAATACAACTACTAACATATCAAGCAAATACAATACCAACATCGCAGACAACCTCTACACATAACTACCTGTCAGAATACATAGTCATTGCTCATCAAGAGATAACAGATGTCCCTATCTAAAATCATTCATCATAACACTAAATAACTAATCACACACACACACACACACAAACTAACTCACTCACTCACTCACCTGTACACACTACCACCGTGTCCATCCTACGATCCAATAACACTTCAGTCACTCACTCACCCACATTCAACTCTGAAAGAAACAAGTCAACAAATACAAAAACCATTACCTCAATCCTCACGAGCAACAACCATGTCATTTCAATACAATAATCATCAGTGGTTCCTTAGTAAATCGCATTACAATTGTTATCCATACATATAACTCTCATCACATTCAATAAAAACTAACAATAACTGTGAAATCAGCATTCAATATACTCAAACAACTCAACTAATACACACAAACTCCTCTCCAAAACGCTCTCCTCCATCACCTCAGACACATACACCTACACATACATAGCAAATATAACCACAATGACACCCGATGAAAGATGCAATCACAACAAATTACTACTCTCTCACACACACACAGTTACCAACATACCAGACTATAACGCCACACAGAATAAATTACACAATAAAAATCTCACTATCCATTTCTGAACAAAACCTAACCTCTCGCACTCAGCCTCTTTCACTTAACTCTTTTCGAACTTTAACGGGCCTTCTGTGTGTTTGGGACTCTCACGGGCTGAATAATATCAACACGCATCAAATATGCGGGTCACCTCCTCTGCCCCTCTAATTTCATACTGTTTATGGAATTGGTGCCCTAATTTTTAGTCGATGGCTCGATCGTTCGCACACTGACTGACACACAGTTGCCTTCGTCTCCTAATGGAAACGCACATCACTTTTCTACTTCCATTGGCCCCTACTAGACCACTCAACGAACTCTTGTTATTGCCTCGTAATTTATGTTCTCCTATGTCTTGGCATCTCGTTTTTTCCTGTGATGTCACAATTTGTTGTTGTGTTTACTCTCTGTTCTATATTATTATAGACACATGTTATTGAGAAGGTTTCTGTTTCGAGGTTGGTTGAGATGCGTATGAAAATGGTCTCATGAAACGTTGATAAATTTCTAAGGATATCTGGTAGACTCTGTCAGTTTTTGCCTAGGGCGAACCCTGTCTTCTTACTGACGTTGGAGTATTTGTGTATGATGAATATCTCTGTCATATGATTCGTGCCTTCTTTGAGATCGTCCATGTGTTTACCGAATGGATTAGATGAATTTTCGTAGTTAATTTCTTTTTGAATGCTTTGTAGATGGTTGCCTTCCCTATCACAATGGCGGAGTTTTGGTTCACTTCTGTAAAGCATGAGAAGCCCTTAGTTTCAAGTAAATAGATGACAGTATTGATAACGTGCAATTTACACAACGTTCAATTCATTATGGAATATGTTTAGTGTCGTTTTTGTTTGTCAGCTGACTCGAGCGGACCGCTACACGATAGAATGTGATCCCTCTAACCCTACAGAAATCAATATAGTCAGCGTATTGGACACATATCTAGGCTTCAAATACAACAAACACTCAATTATGTACCTAATCTTGCCTGTAATGATTTCATGGAAACGTTTGCAACCAGTTATGTATTAAGAGATGTGGTTATGATGCTCTGAACAAGTGTCCCCTATATATGCAATGCACAGTTTGATGTTTTGTTGGACACTTATAGTATTTATGAAAGAATTTGTTAGCTAGCGGAATATCATAGGCGATCTTAGTGGCGATATCCATACAAATGTTTGGCTTCCAGAAACTGTCATCCACTATAAGCCTGCTCTTTAAATTAACAATGAACGCATTAAAGCCATAAAATGATAGCCAGCAGCCTTTCCAATCTAGTTACTTAAATAATTTATTTCGCACTTGTTAAAATAAGACAAAAAAGAAATAATTAGGTATTGTTGCACAGTCTGAATAGAATAGTGAGTCTTTTTTCAAAACCCGAACGTCTAAGAGGCATGTACTCAGTCAATAAGCCGAGTTGCAAGATTTCATGCTACCGTCAACTAACTCTCAAAAACAAGATATGTGAAATTAATTAGTTTTGAGAGGTTTGTTGGTGTTCAGGATGAGCTTAAGAGGAAAAAAATGAAAGTGCACCAACTAACATCAAAAAAGTCAAAGTACATGGTGCAGTGCAAGAAAGAATAAAAAACAGATGAATTAACATGTTAAAAGTTATATGTACAAGCGGATAACTGTTTCACCACAAATGCGCAATTAACTGTTTGAGGTCAAAGTCAAACAGTCAAAAATGCTGAAAATTAAGTATATTTACGATTGCGTTGATCAAACTTCCTGCATACGGCTTTGGAATAGCTAGGATAACATGGTTTTGAATTTGAAGAATAACCGGAGGATGTACGACTGGGATTAAAATAGTATTCCTCAGATTGTTTTGACTGTCGTTCATACGCCAATCTTGCAGGTCTCTTATCCACTAGCTCCGCTCGTGGACCACCTAGCAGTAAAGTGCACAAACAAATAGCTTTGAAAATGGAAAAATAGAACATGACTGTGTTTTTCTACAAAGTATCGCAAGCAAAGCTCCTTGGTTCCAGTTTGTACACTGAAAGAGCTGCTCTGCTCACAATCGAATTGAATCTCAAAGAAAACGGCTTTACTTCATCATCATCATCATCAACATAGGACCAGGCATTACTGCGTAACGGTCCGAGTTGCCACACCTCATATCAGCACATCAAGTAAAAAGGTAGTGAGGTGAAGGATGAAGATAAGTGAATGCAGTCAAAAGAAATATAAAGTACGAGAAGAAAGGAAAGAGGAGTGACAAAATAGTGAGATTCGGTATAGCGTTGTTAAGATGAGGATAATGTGTGTATACATCTGCGCCACTGACTTCGGTTCTGAGCCATATCACCTAGGGTCTCCAACCACTGGTTCCTCTTGTCCCGTGGACCCCAACCACCTAGTCTGCATCGTCCTACATGGCTTAAACCAACAGTCAGAGACTTCATACATTGGTGCCATGTTTTAGTCTGGCCACCTCGGGCCTTTTTCCAGCCTGAACCCACCTCAGCCAACATTGTGTGACGAGGCAATCGGTGACTAGGCATACGTAGTACGTGTCCCAACCATCTCAGTCGATGAAGGTTCACAACCTCGTCGACTGACTTACCTCTTCTCCCTAAAACTCTACACCTAACTTCTGCATTACTCACATGGTGACACCACGGAATACGTCCTATACTACGAAGGCAACGGTGGTCAAACACCTGAACCCTTTTTATGTCTTCCACTTTCAATGGCCATGTTTCACAGCCATACAGTAGAACAGAGCGGACTGCTGTGCAGTACACGCGACCCTTAATAGACAAACGAATATCACGGCGGCGCCATAGGTGGCGCAAATTGGCAAAAGCCAATCGAGCCTTTTGTATCCGTGCAGAAATCTCATCGGCAACTAACCCACCGGGTTGATCCTACTTCCCAGGTAAGTGAAGTGGTCAACACACTCAACCACTTCACTCTCTATTGTTAACCGCGGTACCGCTGAAGACCAGTCCTGGAGCAAAAATTTGCATTTGGGTGGTGAAAATCGCATCCCAAACATTCTCAAATTCCCACTCAAAGTGTTCAGAAGACTCTGCATCTTGTCAGCGTCTTCACCTAACAGGACTATGTCATCTGCATATTCTAGATCTAAGGAAAATTCACCTGTGATCGGGTCAACGTCTTTGTAATTAGGTGACGAGAGGGAAACCTCCATAAGAATATCTATGATAAAATTAAATAAGAATGGGGATAGTGGGCATCCTTGACGGACACCACTTGATGAGTATAGCTCCCTGGACAACTCACCATAGGCTCTAACATGCCCACAAGTGTTCGAGTAGAGAGCTTTCAATAAGGTGATGTACTTACTAGGCACGCCTTTCAGTGACAGACACTGCCATAAGACTTCTCGATCAACGGAGTCAAATGCCGCCTTCAGGTCGAGAAATACAGCTATTGTCGGGCGTCTGTAAGCATGCCTATGTTCCAGGACCTGGCGCAGTGTGAATATTTGGTCGATACATCCACGGCCAGGTCTAAAGCCTGCCTGGTTTTCTCGGGCTTGCTGTTCCCGAGCTCCACTCAGGCGTCGGAGAATTATAGAACTTAGGATCTTAGACACTATGTTTGTCAGGCTGATTCCTCTGTGGTTATCACAAGAGGACTTCTCGCCTTTCTTGAAGACTGGGATGATGAGTGACTTAGACCAGTCGGAGGGGATCGTATTTGATTCCCATATACTGGCTAACACTTCCGTTAGCCTGACTAAGAGAACTCTACCACCATTCTTGTATACCTCAGCAGGTAGTCCGTCTGGTCCTGCTGCCCTTCCCCGTTTCAGGCTACCTACCGCTTTCTCAACTTCTTCTAGTGTTGGGGGACCTGTCTCTATGTCCCATTCAGGGTCCGACTGGATAGCGGGCAGCGCAATGGTGGCTGGAGGCCAGTTAAACTGTTCCTCAAAGTGTTCTGCCCATCGTCCCAGTCGCCTTCCCTGCGAGTGAATCGCCGATCCGTCCTTCTCCGCTATAACCTCACTAACTGTTGTTGACCATTTCCCCCCAGTCTCCTTAATAAGTCTAAATAACTGTCTACTGTTACCGATCGCCGCTGCCTTTTCCATCTCTTTAGCCTTTGCTGCCCACCACTGTTCACGATCGTTGCGCAGACTTTTCGTCAGTTATTTTTAAGTTGCGCTCGCTCTTCATTGTACTCAGAGCCTGCAGGGATGCATTCACGTGCATCCATTAGTTTGGAAGAAGCTGCTGATATCCACTGGCTCTTTTTAGCCATTATCTTGGAGTCGGCTACAGTCTCCAGTGCTGCTTTTACAGTAGACTGAAGATGGCACCAAGCTTCTTCTGGATGAGTGACAGTCTTTTGTTCCGATAACTGCCTAGCCAACTTCTCACTGAACACGGCTTTGGTGTTTTCGTTGTCCAGCAGAACTCGTAGTGGTTTTGTTGCCAAATTTTTTCTACGTCCATTGAGACGCAGGCATATACGTGCTCGGACCAACGCATGATCGCTGTCCAAACACGTACTCCAGAAGGAGCGGCAGTCTTCCACCGATCCTCTCCAGCGATGACTAATAGCAATGTGGTCTATCTGTGTCCATCGCTGAGTCGAGCTCGGTGGACGCCAGGTCAGACAGTGCCTTTCTTTATGTCTGAAATTTGTGCTGGCTAAAAATAGGCGGTTATCTGAGCATAGTTGTAATAGGCGATCACCGTTATCTGTACGTTCAGCTGGGATTCCGAAAGTGCCACCTAAGTGCCTTTCTGCCTCACTCAGTCTACCCACCTGTGCGTTGAGGTCACCTGCAACAACCACTACGTCCGAACGTTTGGCTTTCGAGAGGAGGTTAGACAGTTTATGGTAGAACTCGTCCTTCACTTCATCCGAACTACAGTCAGTGAGTGCGTAAACGGCTTTACTTACATTTTCTGGTATAGACTATTACAAGTGCAGCTCGACGAGAGTACTAAGGATATTTTCAGAGACACTGGTCAAACAGTTATCAGAATTGAACAATATCACTCATCCAGAGGAAGCTTTGTGCTACCTACAGCCTGTTTTAAGAGACCGTAGCCGATTCTCAGAAAGTGGTTAAAAAAGGCCAGTGGATCTCAGCAACATCGTAATCAGTGGATGCAAACGAATGCACTACTGCAGCATTCGAGCGCAATAATGAGCGGAAGCACCTCATATGTAAACTGATAAAATGTCTACGCAATGACCACGAACACTGGTGGACAGTGAGAAAGGTACCAGTGATATTTAATAGTAGACGAGCTAGGGCAATAATGTCAGTGACTAATGAAAGAGGATATGTTCGTGATTCACTCGCAGGGGAGACAAGTGGGACGATGGGCGGAACACTTCGACGAGCAATGTTTGGGATGCGTTTCTTTGCCATCAAAGTGCAAATTGTTGATCCAGTACTGGTCTTTAGTGGCGCCCTATCCAACAGAGCGGAGTAAAATAGTTGGGAGTGTTGAACGTTTCACTTGCCTGGGAAAATGAGTCATCGCCGGAGTTTCAGAAGCTCACTAAATCTCATCAAGAATACAAAAGGCTCTGTAGACTTTCGCTAACCTACACTATCTGTGATGCTGCCATGATGTCGAGCCGTCTGTTAAGAGTCGACAGTACTGCGCAGCAGTTCACAACGTTCTACTACATGGATGTGAAGCATAACCATTAAAGTTAGAGGATGAGGCGTCAGGTGTCTGATCACCGTCCCCTTCGTAGTGTTTACCGTGTCATGAGCTTACCGCATCCGTAATGTAGAAGTCAAGCATAGAGCTTGAAGAAGAAAAGGAAGTCAGTTGATGAGGCTTTGAACCTTTATCGGCTCATATGGTTAAAAAACGTATTAAGCATGCCTAGTCAGCGTCTGAAATATGTTTGAGCCGGAAAAAGTCGAAGAAGGCCAGACTACAATATGGAATTATTAAATGAAGTCTTTGACCGCTGGTCTCAGTCATGTAGGGAAATGTAGACTTCTACACACCATCCTCAGCCTAATCATCGTACTGAATCCAGTATTTTCTTATTCCTCCCTCCTCGCCTTTTACTACTTTTTACAATTTTGGACTGATTCTTTTTTTCATCTTTCTCACTTGATATGTTGATATGACGTGTGGCAACTTGGACCGATATGCAGTAATCCCCGAGCTTATGTTGACCTTTTCAGTTGTCAAAAACGTGGAGATGGAGAATGAGTCAGAACACCAGCAAATAACAAGTGAGAAGCTTCTTAACGCAGGCAATTTAATATTTACTCAGAAAAGTACATTTAAATGAGCGAAAAGTATGACTGAGCTGTATCTACATAATTGTACCAAATCTACGTAATCAGCAAGATTTCTGTAAACTTACTCATCTCCTGTTAATCTTAAGTCGGTCACCCAAACAAATCCCAGATAAGAAACTGACTACATGACATAGTCGCGTTTCGCAATTACAGATGTACTGGTGAGACAGCGTCAATTATCGCGTATCGCACCCAATACCGATAGAATTCCCAGCAACTATGTAGAGTAAATAGAAAATATTTAGACAAAGACTTCGAGACAACAAACAGAGATATGTCCACCCAAGCGTACGTGCTCATATCCGACCTCTGAAGTCTCATCTACTCCACAAGTAAAATCAGAAATCTCTTATTTGGTAGGTATAGATCAACAGTGACGCTGTAATTGAACTTCTGGCCAGTCAATATTAGCAGACAACGTAATCCACTACATGCACAAATATGAACTAGTGTCTCAATGACGTACAGTAAATCAAACTCATCAAGATGTTAAAGCACAAGATACAACACGTCACTGATGCAAGAGAGTAGCTAACCCATGCAACAAGTGTGGCCCATAGCCTGATCTACAAACACTTGCCCGTTGGAGCTGCACTACCACCATCTTTCTCGACTGAGACAATAAATATGCTCCTGTCCTTCGATACAGGGATTTACTTTCGGAAGAATAACTTCATAAATACTCACTGTTCAAATCAGAGAAATGTATGATCACTGTGAATTTTCACGCCAGAGGGATATCTAAACGCCTTCAGCAAAAGAATAGTAATCGCTGCAGCGACACAGCAGGATTAACTTAGGGTCGGTGTATCATACCCAGTCAACATTTTCGTAGGGCCGAATAAGTCTATGCTGGACTACTCACTATAGAAAACGTCGGGCCAAATGTACGCCCAAGCGTAGAGATTTGCAGCACTTTTTCTGTACGGCTCCAAGTAGTGGTTGCTGGCCCAACTAAAACAACGGCCCAGCATCTGACCCCATGTGCACTACATTACATTCATAGCCCAACGTTGTCCTACTTAGACCGACAAACTGCAGAATGTATACAGTTTGCTTCACAAGGAAAACATCTAGAAGTGGACTTCAGATGGAACTATAGGTTCATGGCTGTTAACTACTGTTATGCTCGCCTAGAAAGCCCACTCGAGTGTCAGAACTAAAACTTATTCAGAAAGACGAGATGCTAACCATTTAACACTACGGTCTGCGTTATGATTCATTTCGTAAAAACTTCCTTACATCATAACATGTGGAGAGTAGTGCAGACAGAACAGCACATCAGCAGTAACTTTATTATCGGTGGACAGGAGCCAGAATAGTCAAGTGAGTTGATTGTCACGCTTGTAAATGACTGTGATATCTCTTGGATTCTTTTTAATTACCGCCATACGTTAAAAGTTGGCACTCGATGTGGAAGTTATCAGCAAATCCAGATTATTTATTATCGTAAGGACCATCAATACAACTAAGGTGCGCACCCGCTACTGGTGTAGTTCTGTCCAACAGATTTATTCTTAGTTCTAGGGCAATATCGCCCTAGAAATGTTGAGTTTCAGCAGCAGTTTAGACCCATCTCTGCGATACATCATATCACATATTTCATCATGGCCACTTAGAATAAGTTTGAGAGGCAGAGAAACCTGTGCAGGTGCTCTGTATCACATATGTCACGGTATACCAAATATCAGATGCAGATGACTACTAGTACGTACCTGCTCTTGCATTCACATCACAATGTGAACTGAAGCGACCACTAGGCACTTCACGCCTAGAGGCGAATTCTCGCTTCATCTGCATGGGACCACTACCTACTAGATTCTTAGCTCTAAAGTTTCATATTACAAAATATGATGAGCTTACTGATTAAATGGTCTACGCGGCAAAGGATGCTTTTTACTTACGTTCTCCACATAAGGCAGACGGTATTTATGCGTCACTGGCCGATCATATCTGTCTCTGATAGCAGAATCACGATTAGATGATCGATTCTCTCTAGTACGTTGATAATCGTTCCGGCTTGTTGGCACAATGGTTCGTCGACCATTAATTTGAACGGTAAAGTTACGCCTGTGATTTGATGGTGAAGCCGGTTTTCTCTTTGAAAGTCTGTCAGCATCACCACTCCTAGTCTGAGAGTCTGGACTATGCATTCCTAAGTGCCAGCCGGCGTCTCTCACCGGCCTTAATTATAACTTCGCGCGAGTGAGATAAAGTGTTAAGTATCGTCACTCTGATTGGTCAGCCCTTCGGATGTAAAAACAAGCACTCTTGTCTAATAGCATTGACCGCTGGCTTTTGTTCTTGTAATGCATAAAAGTATTTGTAAAACATTCGGCAGTTAGAATTTCCTCTTAGATTGAGTGTTCAAACTCAAAACTTCAAACATCGTGTTGTAAAACTAATGAAAGACGGTTCCTTGAGTTCTACGTCTGTCTTGCTGGAGTACGTCCTAGGTTTGGAATGGTCACAGATGTCTTCCTGGTTCCGAAAAACAAAGATAATCGACTGTTAATTAATCTGGTCCCAAGGTAGTATTACTCCTTCTGATGACGGAAAGCTTCTCGAGTACAGCCAATCGGTATCACAAGACGCTAAGTGTGCATCTGGCCTCCTTTTGAAAGCATCGGAGGATGGAGCTGTAACAGCTTATGAGGAAAGACAGTTCCACACTTAACAAACTTAGACTTCAAACGAGTTAGCACGGATCTTTGTATGTGTTCTTTCATGGTTTACTCTTAACAAGTGACCCCTAGGGCGACGCTTCTGACTAAGGCTTAGGACGAATCCTTTGAGATGAAGTGGACTACGGGTAGTGCGACACATGATCATATCCTCTCTGATCCTCCGGTACTGTAATGGACGCGGCTAAAGATCAAGTAAGCGCTCCAGGTAAGGTGTGTATCTTAACCTAATCACTTTCTTCGCATCACTTCTGTGAACCCGTTGGAGGACGACTATGTCCTTCCCCAAGTATGGGGACATCACAGGCGAATTTTTCCCAAGACGAGGGCGAAGATAGAATGTATAAACTGTAGTAAAAATAGTCAGGTCAGACTCCCCAAAGTTCGCGAGGGAAACTCCAAGACTCCACAGCCCCCGTTGTCCGCAAGGTGATGGTGGACAGAACACCTAAGTGTGTCATTTAAGGTATCTCCTGGATCTTGTTTCATGCCTGAGTGACGCATGTTTACCTCATTTAGAGAGTAAGAACTGGAAATGCTTTTAAATTTGCCAAAAATTTTAGTACACTTCTTCGATTTGGGAGGGAGAAAGTTTTTTGCAGCCCAATATAAGATTTTCGTAAGATTCTCCAGGGGGACAGATATAATTGTTGTTACCTGTATTCCCCTTCAAATCTTCAGATCATCGGTATATAATGCTGATTGAGAAGTGAGGGGTCATGGTAGGTCATTGATAAAGGCAGGAAAGAATAGTGGTCCCAGAATAGAACCCTGAGTCACATCACTTAGCATCGGGAACCTATAAAGCAAACAGGAGGCAGCCCGAACTGACTGCAAACTGGTGCAGAGGTAATCTCAGCCAAATTAACAGTTTTCCGTGTACGCTCACAATCTGAAGTTTCTTGCACGGGATATCATGACTTACCATTTCAAAGGCCGTGGAAAAGTCAGATAAACCAATTTTGTATCAGTAGATCTGGTAACAATTCAGTTAAGTTGTGTTGTATCAAACGTCGCTGGGGTGTGAAGTGTGCATCAAAACATTCGGAGAGGTACATAAATTGCCTTACTAATAAACTCACCAACCAATACTTCAACACAATGACTGTCGATACACGGTTCGTGATGGACGGTTACGTTGCGACGAAAGCGAAAACGTAGATCTTGAATCCATCTCACATCGTTAGCGGCATCAGGAGACAGCAAAACTGCATGCATTGTAACCTATGTTTACAACTCACGTCTGGGTTTTCCACTGGTCTCACCCTTGAAAATAATGATCAATCCAGTGCTGGAGCCAGATGTTGAACTAAAGTTTCCTATGCTGGTCACTCCATGAAAAGTTGGGTTTGTGAAGTGCATCCACGAAACAATAAAATTCAAGATCTATCTTTGGCTTCGTACTGCTTATAGTCCCAATCAACTCGAAGTTTGTAGGCCCTCCTGCCTAGTCAAAGAAAGGCTGAGGAAATAATGGGTGCATCTACTGAGTCGTAGATCTACAACTTTCCGGGTACAGTAGTTAGGCGTGCATCCCTAAAGCCCTAGCAACTTTGGGGTTGCGTGATATTTATCTCTAGCCTAGGTACATGTGACTGGAACTCACCACATTCTTTCAAGTTTTCATAGCATAAGCCTCCATCTCTGACCATGGCGGATGGTCAGGCTGAAAATGTAAGTGTAAGTATAGAAAGCTTTCTTTTACTTTCATGGTTAATAATGTCCGCACAGGCCCTATCCAAACTTTCCTGTCCTCTCCTCACAGACGGTTAGCAACAAGGTCTAAGAAGTGTGGGACTCAAAGCATCTCAACCACTGCGTGCACTTTCTCATAAAGCATACTTACGCCGTCAACTTAAGTTCCTCATGCCACTGGCGAATGAATTCAGAAATTGGTCAAGTGGTACATAAATATGTGGAAACTGTTCGGCAAAGTTTACGAGGAGTGCCAGAACAAACCTCAGAAGTCACATCAATCCGTAAACACCCACTGGTTTCCTACGTACATACTGTTTGGCCGCTTGAACAAGCGTTAAATACACATTTTCCAGCGTTTTCTTACCTGGTTACTTATTGAAACGAAAAGCAGAACTGTTTATGCTGCTAGCATTAGGGGCAGGGATATTTGTTATCTACTTCACTGTGATTCATGGTTCCAGACAATCAACTCCCAACCAGTGCATCCTGTGTTCAATGCATGACCCGCCGACCAAGTTGTAAGCGGCCACGTATTGGCAGTGGTCCTAGCAGGAGAAGTTCGTTTGCTGTACCCACTAATGGTAATGCTGTCAACAGCGAACAATTTCACTGAAGTTCATTGTTGGGCAGTTATCAAGCCATGGAACTGCCCACCACAGGAAGGCATCTGGCATTTGCTTCGAGTTCACAACGGCTTTCCTCCCTTCTAAGTGCTCCCAAGCTCTGAGAAAACATTTAGTCCACTTCAAGTAAGGCTTAGCCTACGCTGACAGAGAATCTATTACTTACGATTAGCAACAGTAATGTTCCACACCTGCTGACACTCCACACAGCACTGGTGTATTCGGAAATTTACCTTTATGAATCCGACATCACTTACAAATACATGAAACAGCATACAGACCCACTGTTGACGAAGGTCGGATTTGACCTTAACTTACTTTCCAGGAACCAGAAACGCCCTCAGCATACTTTCTCCCAGAACTCCTGCACAATATCCTTCCACTGCATCGGAATCCACAGTAGCCTATTGAATTAAAATCCGACAGCCAGGCACGCCACTGCCTTCTGCCTCGTAATCCCCACTCTTGACAGTATTCGTGAATTGATCGCTGCATCATGTCGAGAGTTCTAGCTTCCACCGAAGCGTTGACAGTAGCATCTGACTTATCTGTCGGGGGCAAATACGCCCGGCGTGAAGAAGCTAACACTAGGAACGCCAACTACTTTAGAACCTCGCAAGAGTTCAAACGCGAGTGAATATCGTAAGTCCCCACTAAAATGTTTCTCCCTCGACTGCGATTCTGGGACCTGCTGTTAATTTTTCATTACCTACACTACAAGTGGATGTTGCAACTAGCCTGGTTTCTGGGCCATAAAGTCCAGGTACCTGCAGATTAACCGATAATGAAATAGGGGGTTCACTTCAAGTCTCCTTTCTTAGGGAAATTCTGGCCCAAGCGCACCACATCTACGGATACAATGTAAACCGCAACCGGCTCCGAGTGTTCTGAAGGTGAAATAATGTTTTGCTCTCTCGACCTTAGGTTCTTCATGTACACAGGTCGCTGGTAATAAACAGGCAGTATCCTACAAGCGGGCTGATAAATACAATATATGGTGGAGCCTTTGATTCCTCAATATCACACTTACGAATGATGCACCCAAGTTAGCATGACTGAGACCTGATGAAATTCGTTGGTCCAGAGAATGACAGGCCCGCGGAATATCTGTGACCAGGATCTAGCACAGAAGAACATCTAGGTATCTTTCATTCACATGCTTCCAGGTTGTCGTTGGCGATACTTAGCCGGCTATTTTTTATCAATATTGAACTTAAGGTGAGACTCTTATTATCATATTGTAAGTTTACGCCATTCCTGTCCAGCGGTAATCACAGGATCTCCTGGTTCATGAGTGTGGTAAAATACTCACCCTCCGAATCATCAGCCTGTGGCAGTGTTTTTCTGGCCGCACGGAAGGCATGTCTGTAGATAATCTCAGGTTCTTGGTAGCCACTCTGATGCCCTTGACAGTAAGCTCCACATAAGTGCATAAGCCAGTGACAAGAAGAGTAGAACTAGCGGCGCAAAGCATTAGGACTAGAATTTTGGAATCATTCATCAAACAATTCATGAATCTTCAGCGGACCGTTATGTGACACCCCAGGGTGAAATAAGCAAATAATATTTCTTGATGACTGTACACGTTTATTTAAGAGAGACGTCAACCAGTGTACTCCGGAACCACTTTTAAGGGCAGCAACCTCTCCGTTTGATGCGTCTGGATTCTGATAATCAGTGAGCTTCACAAATTGAATACAATGGTAGGAAGTCCTTCGACGAATGGTATTATGATGATAATTTTATGAGTTTATTGCTCGGTAAACTAGGGATGTGTGGGTCATGGTTCCCATCCACCACAAGTGTTTTCACAGGAGCAACAATATCTGGAGGTAGTGTTATGTTTCTGTAGACATACGAAGGCGCATCTGTCAGTGAGTCTGCTTTGAGATGAGCATCCTGTGGGATAAATCTGAGGGGCTCGATGAGTGCTTCCCACTCTATATTTTGTAGCTATGACACAGAAAGTCCCTTCAGGGTTCCCTGCTTTGTTCTTCGAGATGAAGAATTGGTAAGCGACAGAAAACTATCCTGCTGTCACCGCTAGAGAATTCGATTCTAACGTAGGCAGTGAAAGGACTGATCCCCCCGAAAAAGACCAGGTCCAGTATATTGCTTTTGCTGTAAGTTGACTGGACGTGTTGTTTA